ATGTAACGTGTCTGCAGCAATAATAATAACACTACCCCAGTCATTGTTGACGAGCATGTCTAAAATTGTATTACTGTAAAATATTACATTTAATACAATAATATTTCCGTGTACGTGTGTGCGTGTTAATTAGATTTGACTCGGATTAATGAAGAGAATATTGAAGTAGTTAGAATTTCATAATTTATCATAATGATATCAAACGCGTTCCAAGAGGCGAACTATACAATGCGCATATAGAGTTTTACCCTTTCTTATTAAAACTAGTGAGTATCATTAGGTCCATCCATTCAAGAACATTGTAAATAAAATATGTATATACACGCGAAAACAAAATAAAATATGACTATCGCGTATAATGACTGAAGCGTTTAAAAACTGGTAGGTACGCAATATAACCGTAGAGCTATGTAGAAAAACGGACTGATAACTGAAAAGAAAAAAAAGAGATGGTTTGGCGGTTTGGAGCTGATGGCGTGCGCACGGGTATAGAGGAGTTAAGAGCTATACCCCCCCCACCCCCATACTGGCTTGTAAAAATGTTATAAATACACGAGACACATATAATATACGACATAAATTACATATTTACCGTTGCATTTTTCTATAACTTTACTGAGTACTAAAAGTGACGAGTGACACTAGTGACACAAAATCTAGACCAACCAAAGGCCAGATGAAGTCAAGACCTACGAAATAAATGTAGATTATGTAAAATTAACTATTGTAAAGAATTAAATACATTATTGTAGACAACCCAAGTACGTGTGCTTTCACTTCTAAACAAATTAATTACACAGTGTCTTTCATTTCCATACTTGTTGATGCGTGTACGTTGGCGGACTTCGATATCAGATGCTAATAAATAAATCAATAAACTAATTACATTTTTGGTCGTTTTAAAATTTGTTTCAAATAAAAATAACTAAAATTGAAAACTCGTCCATAACACTTTCTCGTTTTGTCTGTAATCTATTATAATCACTATGTCGTCATTTACGTCATAAAATGTACCAATTATGTAATTTGTAAAAAGCTACAGGGTTTGGAGGGTGGGTAAACTATCACCTTTGCCCCCCCCTTTTAAAGACGTCCTTAATAACAGCGTGTTATTCGTACCTAACGAAACAATGCCGAATGACGGGGGTTTTTTTTTTTTTTTTATTTGTATTTCGAATCGGCTAGTTGGTCCGCGGCTCATAAAAGTCGAGGGAAAAACACCTGATATCGCGACGGTAATATACGTAATAAGAACCGAAGGGGCGTAGGTGGTGGAAGGGGGTGCGGGGGGGTAACGTGTAAGTGGAGAAGCGTCGGACATAAAAAAGAAAAAAGAAAAAAAAAACGAAAAACGAAAAACCGTGAACGGGGTGCGGGACGGAACGGCGGAGCGCGGACGGTAAAACGGTTTGTCTTTGGGGATATTAAACTAGGCCGGATCGTTTGTTTTGTCACTCGTATATTTATATACACGTATAGTGCGCGTGTACCGGGGCCGCTGCAGTTATACTGATGTTGCGCCCGCCGTTCCGGCACGGTGACCGTGGAAAATAGATTAGATCAAGTGGTCTGTTGGCGTAATGGACTCCGATAATTCACCGGGGCCCCGGACGAACCCGGACACTTTGTCTTGGTCCAATCGAACTACTACCGCCGCCGTATAACAGTATACGGCGCGCGCCGGAATTCGCCCCTCGGACGCAGCCAATTTCCTGAGTGCGCCACAGCAAGACACCGCGTTACACGTATACATGTGCGCGCGCGCGTGCGTGCGTGTCGAGTGTATACGACCCGATAATAAAAACTCGCAGTGCCGTCTATACGCGCGTACTGCACACCGCGCGCGTAACACGACGTGTGTTGGCGTCGATGTTTCGTCGGACGCGTATGACATACGTACGGATGACATACTCGCGCGGGAACGGCGGGGGGAGGAGGGGGGGGGTGGTTGGCGCGCGTTGACGTTATCGCGCGGAGTAAGCGGATCGAAATTGATTAACGGAAACGAACAAACGGAAAGCCGAAAAAACCGTCGTCGCGGGAGCCGCTGCCGAACGGGAAACCGTGACGGCGACGGCTGAACGAATAATAAAAATATACGCGCGTGTGCGATATACGACGCGACGACTTTTGACCGGACGGGCAGCCGTTGAGTTATGTTCGCTTGTAGGTCAGATGCCGCAGATAATGTAATCAAGAGCAGCCAAACGGCGAGGTGCTCCATTAGCGAAATTAGTTTCTTGTTGCAAACGATCTCGCCCGCCGCCCGCCACCGCCGTCGCCGTCGCCGCTGCCGTATCCCCGTGCCCGGAGAATAAACACACGCCATTTTGTTGCGTAAAACTTAAAAGCTGCTTATTAGGTTATCGGCTTTACGGAAGTTGGCCGCCTCCGCGCGCCGCCAACGCCTCGGGGTTAGCCTCTCGGGTTTCTCTCTCTCTCTCTCACCGTACGTATATAAACGAGGAGGGCGAGAAGGAGGCCGCGGCAGCGGCGGTATAGTGCCAAAATTGTTTGCCTTTAATGACCGGGGCTCTAACCAATCTCGAAATTAATATCCTTAAAACTTTCGGTGTAATTTTAATAATTGGACGAGCCTACTGCAGCTCTTGTAGCAACGCAATCGTATAGAACGGGCGGTAAAAAAATTTCAACTGTATAGTACAGGGCTGCGCAACGCGCTCGATTGTTTCACGCGAGCCCGAAAGCCGGTGCACGAAATAAAACGACGCCCGAGTCCTTCTTCCCCGACAGTCTTATTAACACCAATAATAATAATATATTATATTAAATAATCGTGTTCAAGTTCATAATAATATGTTTAAGTGCCAGAAGTTCTAACTGTTCTAATGTGTGGATCTCCGTTATCGGTGCCCTCCGACCGTGAAAGTCTAAACGCGTGTTTGCTAGATAAATATATTTTAATCAAAATTACATAATTCAAACAACTTTTTTTTTCATCAACAAACATCGCCGGATCGTTATATTTAATTCCCGATTGCATTAAACATTGCAAAAACTAGAACGGAGTGAGGCAAGTGGATAAAGGGGATAAGGGACCGAAACGCATATCATTTATCGTATTTCGTAATAAAATTGTTGCGAACAACAAATCGTTCAAATATCCTGGAATAAGCATTTAATAGTGTTGGATATACTGTAATCATACAGTATATACAGTGTATTGTATAAATACGAATTGTTTTTTCTCTCATCTTGAAAGAAGATTGCCGTTTTGTTTATTTGTTCCCCTCTTGTTCTATTCCAACTGGGTCTTATTGAAACTTTGGTAAGTTTTTTTGTTAACAAACGTAGTTTTAATCAGTTTTCACATCTAATAACATTATACAATTATGTATTTTTGGTGATCTGATTATGCGCTTATTCCGTGTATCGGGGTAAGACCAGCCTCCTTTTTCTATTTAAAAAATGAGTAAATGTTTAAAAAAAAAAATATGATTACTACAGACGTATTTCAACAGTATATTTGAATTTCCCCGATTTATTTTTAATTCGCCAACGAAAAACTGTTAAAATAGAACAAAAATATTAGAAAAAACTAATCAAAGTTGGATTAATCATAAGCGCAAATATATTTCTCCTAACTCGGGGGAAGTGTAGGAGTGCTAAAAACAGCGTCCCCGAATGGTCATCATTCTGGCCATGAAAATGGGTCTTGAAGTAAAGAACAAACGTATTACTATTTATTTAGTAGTGCTTCAAGTTTTCGGTCAAAACCGGTCGATCTTATAGAGTCGCTTAGTCCCCTACATTTCCATTTTGCTGTATATTTCGCATATCGGGTGACTTCAATAACATTATACATCATGCAAATAGGTATTAATGCAAATCGGATTGTTTATTTGTTCTAAATCACGAGTATTCGTTACGGTGCCCACAAACGGTCCGACTGTGTACCATTAAAATATAATATAGGACCATAGGCGCAAAATTAATATTAATAATATTAGCAATTTAATATTAATGTTATTCATACCCGAATGCGCATAATAATGCGATATTATGTGGAATTTCTTGAACGGCTTACTGCAAACGCACGGCGGACCCGAAAATTAATGGCCAAAAGACGTAGGTACGCCGCGGTAACACATTCGTCCGTGATGATGTATTTACGAGTTCGTGTATAATATATTACAATCATAGTTGTACGAGGTATAATATCATTTTCGTTTTGGCGGATTGTGTGTGTGGCTGCGATCTGAAAATTCCAAGGCAAACGATATAGGTGATGAAATATTCTGCGAGCGCATAATACCACCTACAAGTTTACTGTCCGAAACGTTCGCAGTCGATATTTTCAGAATTATAGGAAATCAAAAAAAAACCTGCATAATATAACGACGTGATGCTGAACAAAAATGTACGCGTGCACAGTGTACACGTCGGCAATTTACTTAGTATTACAATATTACACGCGTGTACACGGTGTACACGGTACATTGGTAAAATAAAAATAATTTCGCTGGCGAGCGAGCGTGTAGATTTTTTTTATTTTTAACTAGGCTATGTATTGTAACAAAAAAAAAAAAATTCCTAGCGTGTTCTGTTAAACATAATATGGTTTGATAAATTCAAATAGAAAAGCGTATCGATTTGTAACTAGAAAATAAATTGCAATATCGTTCGTGTTTGCCAACGAATTTTATGACAAATTTTAACTTGAAACACTCTACAGATAACAATAAGATAAAGTTTCAAAAGCCTGTACGATTATTTATAACTACTTACGAAATACATCGGAGGAAAAACGCAGAATTTAAAATACGAACACTTCAACGATTTCTTCGGTTTCAAATCGATAGAAATAAACGGCCACCGCGATATGCCACCGTTTGTACAGGAAATATAAATAAATGTGACACCGTACAGTTTTTTAAACATCGTATTACAGTTTTTTTTCTGTTGTACATAATATACACGTCGGAAATTTCCGGTGATTCTGATCGAAATAACAATACTAAAATATCATCTCCAATAAAATGTCCACCGAACAACAGTCGCATAATGATTTCAGTTCTCGAAAATACATTCCGAGTCCGGTCATCGCAGTATGTTAGTTTTTGTTCCATTTCCCCGTGACGAACCGTGTAAACAATACGCATTTACGACACGCACCGATTTCGCGTGCGAGCAAGAGAATAAAAATCAAAACTTGTACATACTTGGGGCGAATGTACAACGATAGTTATGATTGATGGCTTATTCATAATATTTTGTGCATTATATAACAATAAATACGATCATAAATAATATTATACTATAAATTTGTAAATTTTACTGTGTATCGTTTTATATGTGTTTTCCAAACGTTCTTGAAAATTGTTTTTGTCGTAATGTCTGTGAGATTATACAAAACATGTGTAAAGTATTAAGCTACATTTAATTAACGCGAATACCACATTTCATTACGGTACAGGTAAAGGTACATGGTAACTATAACAGTATAAAGTAGTGATTAATTCGAATTAATAATCGTTATTCTAAGGAAAATATAAAAAAAAAAAAATAAAAATATCTTTATGTTTTGAACGATTTTACTATAGTTTTTAATTCTGGGGAAACTATACTTGTACATAAGTTTTAAAATTGAACGATGATACTTTTTTTCACGGGAAACACTTTTTAAGATTGCAACACGAAATCCTAGAAAAGTTTTATTCAGCAACTTTTCAAAATACGTATATGCAATTGAACACGAATAATACTTTAGAGTGGTCATCTTTTTTTTTTCATGCATAATACGAGTTTCGTATCGAATCGGGTATTTTTTTTAAAGGGTGCGCTGGTACGCGCATAAACAAAGTATAGAAATATACTATAATAGTAGGTATACCTAATATACTGCATAAAATCGAGTTTAATCAGTTAGAAAAATTAAAAGTACCTGAATAATTCATTTAGCGTGATTGTTAACATTATATGTTTCGCGGCGAAAATAATTCATTATTATGATTGGAATATTGAATGTTTGACAGAATAAATTAACTTAAACTTACTAAGTTTTTGACCGCAACCCGGTCATTTGTATTTGGTACTTATATAATTATCCAATACCGTGTATACATCGAATTCGCCGAATACCCGAAACTCGTAAGTCAAATTTCTAAATCGTAAAATTAAAAATTGAAAATAGTATTGAATAAACGATGTATTCAAGTAGTGAAAAGTGAACAAATTATTTTAATTGGTAAAGTCTGTCATAGTTTTTCGATTTTCGCGATAAATTATATAAAACCGACAAACGATGTTTTGCCAGGATACCAACGTTAGTACATCATATAGATTATAATGAAATCGAAAACATTAAAATAAACTGATAAAAACCAGAGTACCGGAGTTGCGTATAAATTCCCAATGAGTCGAACGTTATACGACTCTTGTTGACTGTTGTATGTTTACTACACGTGTAAACTGTTGTTAAACGATTGTAAATTAAACGATTAACATTTGTTTAGCCGTTTGTTTTTCCATATAAACAAATCGTTAATTAAACACGAGAGTACGACAAAACAGCCTCCCGACACTTTTTTTTTTCTTTGCACCGATCGGACTGAAAATCAACCTTATAATCCCCGTAGCCAAACAAATCGTTTAGCGAGAAACGCATTCCAAAATCCGCAATCGTTTATGAGACAGATATTGCGTACGGCCGGAGAGACACGTATAGAATCATAAAGTAGCTGATGTTATTCAATAATTATAATATTATTTATGAATTTAACTAAAAAGCGTGAACCGTTAAAATTTCGTTAATAAGCCTCGTGCCCCGGTAAAATTTAATAGCGAGTATACGCCGTTCCTATAATAATATGACCCCTAGAGTCCATAAATAATTCAATCAAACAACGTACCCAAGTGTACTGTAACAAAATTTTAATCACGCGCGTCCGTTAAATCGTTAAAATTAAAATGAATTGACCCAACTCGGCCGATTTATAATGTAATATACGCACGCACGTCTTATTTATAATATAATAATCTCTCCGTGTATATACCTAACGCCTCGTGTTTTATATTACACACGCACACACAGAGCAGGTGAATTTGTATTAAAAAACCGAGGGGCAGAGCATAATGTACACCATATATGCTCTTAGGAATACGTTAAATAATATTTATAGGACAATTATTATTATTATTGTGTTTACTACGCGCATATTAAGGTATACGCGCTGTTATACGCGAAAGAATTTAAATTCTAAACCCCTGTTCACCATTTAAGACGCAAAACGTTTTAACTGAATTCGTTTTGGATACTGGACCGTAAGCCATATTCGTTTTACTAAGACGCGTTTTGTTTTTCTCTCAAACCGCTTTTTCGGTTAGTAAATAAAACGCCTATAGCCCATAAGCGCAAAACAGAACCTAAACTTAACCAAAAAAATTGAGATGCCATAAGCGAAAAAAAATTACCTTTTTAACAATTCATAAACGTAAAAACGTTTTAAAATAAAAGTAAAGTGTATTATAAAAAAATGTGTTTTTACTATATGCCGCATTTTTTCATTAATATCAAGTTTCGCATAGCAACAGATAATATACCGGTGTTAATGTTGTTGACTAAATATTTTAAATTACTGTTTGTCGTGAAAATTACAATTTTCGACTCTTCGTCACATAGCAAAATGTTTCATTTCTATGTAGTAATTTTTAATTGTTCGATGAGTTCGTTCAATGGCTACAGGAATTGTTTGCCGACGTTTTAAATAAGTACTGTATAGCGTTATCTTAAATGATAATCGACCGTCGTCGTTATTTGTTACGATAAAATACGATGCAAAACTTAAAAATGATGATAAGTTAAAACTTAACATCAACTGAACTCGATCACTGTTGTTTTTGAAATACAAAAATACTGTAATATATTTGAGACCTAAATATAATGTGTGACAAATTTTATATCGAAACTTGTAGTGCAGCGGATACAATATTGTATCAGGTAATACAATTTATCATAAAGTTAGTTATACTTATAAATACAGTTTTGAACTTTTGAGGTATCAAAATAAATTAAACGAGTTTGCGTAGTTGGGTATCGCCGAAAAAAATGCTACCTACGATTTCGCCACGATAGTATATGTTAAAATATCCGAATTTCCTGAAAAGACGCTGATATACTCTATATTTGAAACATTTTTCAAGACAGCTTTTCTAACAAAAATCTAAACAAACCGACAAAAAGTGTTCATCAGTTATGGTTGTGTCGATTTCTCGATTACAGGTGCAGTATACCGAGTTTCACTCCGAAACGCTATTTAATTGAAATTATTCATCGTCGTTATCAGTTGATAATATACACTAAATCACCCTATTATAGTTATTACCTTATACACATTTACAACTTCTCATCTATAACAGTGACGAAGTATGTACATAGCTTTTTTTATACATGTAGCCTTATATTATACGCTTTAAGTTGTAAGATCACGAGGACAAAAAACGCGACTTTTGTTTCGAGTTTTTCACTTTCTCGCTTATCCGATGTAGATGTCTGTCTTTTTTTTAGATCCTGAGTGAAACGCGGAATGTATTAGTTTTACTACGATGAGTGCTTTACTGCTTTACATTTTTTATTTTATTTGTCTGTAAACAACTTTTCTACCAGAAATCGTGTTCCGAACATCCACTTAAGAGAGTCGGTTTCTGGTAGGAAATTTTATCTAGTTGATGCATTGTAATATTTATTTTTCGATTTTAGTTTTCTTAATTGGGTAAAACCGGGGAAAAAACGTAGGATAAAAGAGAAAATGTACGCAATAATGGACTCAAATTTTTTCAGTTTTGATTTGTTTCGCTTAATACTTAAATTAGAATTTGGTCAAGTAGTCCGATTTTTAAAACATTCTGGTGACTTTTAAAGCTTTTTATAATTTTTTAGCTATATCTAAGACATCATCTACGTTTTACTTACGACTAAAAGGAAAATTTAATTTCAATTACGCAATTTTTTTTTTTATAAGCTTTAAAGTTCAGATTGTATTGAAAAACATAAAAATCACGAAATAAAAAATATTTAAGACGTGAACTTTGTTTTATTCGTATGTCCTGCAATACGACGTATGAATATACTGGATTACTTTCGATTGTATAATTGCGCATATTTATTACGTTCTAACAATAATAGCAAAACACTACGGAAACTGCAGTTATAGTCGGTGTCACACATTCACGCGCTTATTCGACGAGGTGGAAGGTCGAGATGATGTTTTAGTTACTAGATAGGTATAATAATAACCGGTATAATATTATTATAGTGACTGCGAATCGATAGAGACGACTTAGGGGAACTTAGGCGACGGCAACCCACGGCGGCGGCCCGGCGACAACGGTGACGTAGAAATGGCAGATGCGAATGAATGAATCATTAAATCGGACAAAATTGGTATCTTCTGTGGTGTTGACGTTTCGGGCGGAGCAATGACAATGACAGACGGGAATCTCTGCACTTCCCTGCAGTTCAATTTAAAAAAAAAAAAAACTTTTTTAACGAGCTTCTTTTCAGCGGGGGATAAAAAAAAAACGTTCTGAAACGACTTCGTGGCAATTCGAACTATTATTTTTTTTCTTTTTCATTTAACAGCAAGCGATAGCGGAACGAACGGGTACCTTTATAATATAAAAGCGAGAGAGACGAAACGGGAAAAAAACTGCTTGACACTGCCGTTGACATACACTCCGCTGCAGTATAATATATATTTTTATTTTTTTTTAATTTATATTATTAAAAACTCGAGGGACCTCCAAAAAATACGTATCCTGTATATATCCATTGTCGGTATCAGACATGATGCAATAATCGGTGACCGCCCTCGTAAATAAAAATTAAACCGAAATTTAATGACATAAATGATTTTATGACAGAAAAAATAAGAACTGATACTGTTGACAGGTGTACCACTATTGTATGCAAGGAGTTGAAAAGTATAGGTTACACTAGAGTTGTTTAATTTATATCTGTACGAAACGTAAATCATTGCTAACGAAAAACGATTCTGAGAGAAGTTCGGTTATGAAACACATATTTCGAAATGCCGTGATTTATATGATTTTTTTTTATAAAAATTGAATTTTAAAAAGCTTATAGAAAATTAATTTCTGCATTCCACTCGAATTCTTTTTTTTTACCACTGTTGAAATAGTCAGAATATTTTGAAATGTTCACCCGGCTCGTAAAAAGCTAATATGAAGAATTCTGTTTTTTTTATAATCCGGTCTCAACGATTATTTACTAAATTACAACAATAATATAAACGAAATTACGAAAACGGTTAGTGTGTGCATTTTCTGTTTTTCCGGATTACCAATAAGAAAATCAAAAAATTACTTTTCTTACACAATGACTGGTCAAAAGTTTGTTTTTAAAAAACACATAACACATAAATAACGGCCGAAGCAACGTACTGGTAGAAACGAGTCTGGTGAACTCTGAAAATTGATCCGGGACAATTTCTCTTTGTAATCTAGTCGAGGCTATTTATCGTTCGGTAGACGATTGACAAATGTCCATCATATAAGTAAATAACAATTACGGTTTACACGACACGTTAATTATGAAAAAAATTAAGCTACTCAATATAACGTCAATATTACACAACGTACGAATGAACGGGAACTCCGAGTACTTTTATTTTCACTCGTCGTCCGCTCATTTTTTTTAACGTCATTGTCAAAAATGCCTCCACAAGACTCGCGTTGAACTATCTCCGTCCCCCCGTGACTCCCACTCGTAAATATCCGATTGCATTTATTACTTTGACCGTACCGTACCGGTCGTTGTACAGGAAATTTTGTGAGATTCGTCTCGTTCATTCGCGGCACCCCGGACGAAACGCCGCGATCGTATTCCGATGCGTCTCCCGGGAACGCAGTCGCCGTCATTATAAATATTACAAGGCCGACCGTGTTATTATTAACGGACGCCGCGGAAATGTTAATTCCATTCTGCGTCCGGGTAAAAAAAACCGCTCGGCGGCGGCGGCGGCGACGGTCCTTTGCGTCGTCGTCGAGCCGCCGGCACGATGAATCAAAATCAACGTCTGTCGTCGGCTCGCGGAACGCGTGTGCGCGTGTGTGTGTGTGTGTATGCGCGCGTGTGTGCGCGTGTATTTGTGCGCACGCGAGCGTATACGAGTGTTGTACAACTACGCGGCGGCAGTGCGGCCCCATTAATAACGCGTGTCCCGCGCCGCGTTGCGCTCGTCAATATTTAACGAACTTTACGTGTGTATACGGTAAGTGTATAATACGTACACCGCGCGCGGCCTTTCGCGGCCCTGCACACTGTCGCCGCCGCCTTTTCGCGACTTTGGTTCTGCAGCGCGTACTCGCCGCCGTCGTCGTCGTCGTATTATTATACGGTCCGTCTATTATCGGGTCGCGGCGCGGCAAAGACGATTTCGCGTAACTCTTCCGCGCGCGCGCGCGCAGCACCGTAATACCGCGTGCAACGCTGCCGCCGTGTAACGTGTACGTACACGAACATCTACACGCACGCGCCGACAACGGAGACCGGAAGACGGCGAGCTGTGTGTGCCGCGCGTATATACCGCCGGCGTCCTCCGATCTCCGCGCCGCTATATTACGTCCGTGTACACGCATACGCGAGAGTAAACACACTGCACGGTCACGATTAAACATTTATTGTGTTTGTTCGGAAGCAGAGTGTAGCGGCGGCGGTCGTGTTTGTAGAACGCAGAGTGTATTACGCGCGCCGCGACCGTGGTACGATGACGGCACGGTAGCGTACCACCACGGGGCACGGGGTTAGCGGTATGCGGAGCACACGGTTCGTCTCGCCGTGCTCCGCCGTTATTATATTATGTAGAAGCGCGCCCCGTAAACACGCGCACACGCGCGCGCGCGCCGGGCCTTTCGCTGCACGTCCCGCAATGTCCGGCCCGGAAAATGAACAATTTGTTTGCCGGGCCGGGGCCCCTCACCGCGCGAGCGAACCGCCCCGTCCGCCCTTCACCCGCGTCGTAAACCGAAATCGCATCAAATCCGCTCGACGACAGCACACCGCGCCCGCAACCCGCGCTGCGCGCCGTGCCCACCGCCCGCGAGCACTACAACGAATCCCATGCACCGTCCTTTTCCCCGTCCGTCCGGCGGAGGGGCGGCCCAAGGTCGAAACGCGGTCGTTTAAAAGCGGTAGCCGACCGTATCGTCTTTACATAGGTATTATTATTATTATTATTATTATTGTTATACCGCCGACACGGTTGCGGTAGTCGCGGTATATCCTACCGCTGTATCGCGACGCGGTGATTGATAGACGGCTAAAAGTCACTGCCGGCGCACGTCCTATTTTCTCGGAGTCCGGCACAAATGGACGCGGTCGGCCGGGCGCGAAGAACATTCGGACCCCGGACTAAAAATTAACAAATTAGCGATTGTGTCAAATTATCGGAATAACGTTGAGTTTTCAATCTTAGCAAAAATTATTTTCCCGTTGACATTTTCTTCCAATAAATGTGTTCGAGATTCGGCTATTGAAATAAATGTCTTGCATAGTCAAAACCTAAGACCTACAGCAAAGACCTTTTAGTAGATGAAAAATCACGTCGGTTACTGGTCAGTAGTAGAAACAATAGAAGGCGTGAAATGGAAATAGCCACGTTGCGGTCGTCTCGTAGATTATATTTGGTTGGCAATAGTAATTCGTTTATCAAATTTCTCATCTCTGACATCTATAGCGATATTAAATTGTAATAATACATTGAATAATACATAGTTAAATGTCATTTTTCGCACATACAGTAATATAAAAATATAGTTACCAGTAACCTATACTTAGAAATATTGGAAAAACACCCGTATTACGAAAGTTTAAATATTTTTACCATCAGTCAAGTAGCGATTTTCTATATATAAAGAGTAAAAAAATTCGTTTGACGTGCAGATAAGCCAATGTGAAATAAAATAAATCGACGAGTTTCTACTATATTATATAACAATAGGTAGGTATATACGTGTAATTTTGAATCGTAGTCGTTTTACTTTCGACGATAATCGTATCAATATTCTAACGTTAAACGTGATCGGTATAAAATATTTAAATTATTCGGCAAAAAGTAACAACTGAGCAAGCACAAAATAAAACTTTCGGAAAAAATATCTAGGCATAACGAATAATTCAAAAAAGCGAGCAAAAAGAATTACAATATTTCAAAGCTATACACTCGTTTCATTGAAAATTCGATTTTTGGAAATGATACTGCAAAGGGTATCTTTTTATAGGATAGCAATAATTATTGCATAATGTAATTGATTAATTATTCGTTATTACGCTGTACGTATTTATTTAAACCGTCTCGAACTTTTTTATTCGCAAATTTCGAAAAAGAATGAAATAATACAATAAACTAATAATACTAATGCAATCAACACCTAATTCAATTAATAAGACCCTCAGGACTCAAGAAGGTGTATTATATATTGGATGCGACTTGTCCGTAATACTCGTACTATAATAAATGTATAATCAAATATAATTATAATATTTTTCATGGTGTACACATCAAGTGTCAACACATCAAGTAAATAATACTAATTGAATATTAATTATAATATAATATTTTAAGTTGGGTAAGGGTGCACATCTCAACATCTGTTTTACTAAAGAATTTGATTGATATATCACTAATATCGGGTTTACAGTTTATAAATTATAAAAATTTAAAATTTAGACTAAAGAACTAAGGAAAAGTAACAAATTCATAAATTCTAATGACCTTTCATAATTTAATTCATAACCCATAACAACTCCACTCCTCTAGTTTAAACTTATAAAATTATAACTCTTAAATTGCAAGTTCGATATTATAATGTCAGATAATACTATAGTATTACACCTATTAATATTATTGGACAACTATTCTCTATTTAAATCTGTATTTAAGAAAGGCAATTGCTATTTTTAAATCCAAATTGTATTCTAATTTTTACAGGAACTCCCATAAGGAGTAGAGTTGAAAATTTGCAAATTGTGAAAACTTAAGCTTAAAGGATTTCATAAATATTTAAAAAAAAAAGTAATGAAATTAATTGAAAATCCTTCGAGAAAAACACTAGTTTTTAATAAGTGAATTATTACCTGTATTATTTATAGTATACTACAACAAATATGCTTCTATGTTTCCATTCAAGTGAATACAACTTTTTTTAATGAGTTAAATTTGAAATATTTTTTTTCGAAAAGAAGTTGTACTCTAATGTTGAAAAAACGATTATTTCGTTTATTTCGATTAATTTGTGAAATAGCTACCAAAGATGTTAGGACGTTGGGATAACGATTATGCAAATAGTAAATGTAATTTAAATATATAATTTTCAAAGCACTATTATAATAGTTTTTGACTATTTATCTAATGTTAGAAACATTCGTTAAGTATTTATATTGTATTCTAAAAATTAATATTGCAAGTTCAATGCAAGCTGTTATTTAATTTATTATCTCGTAGCGGTTATACAATTTCAGAAATCGTGAAAAAACAATTGGTCGTATAATAATTTGAGTTTGCTTAAAAATCGAATATAAATATCTTGTATTTAAAATACTTATATTTGATTTTTATCTTGTATTTAAAATGATAAATTCGTGTAAATGTTAAATATTTGATATTGAGTTGTACAAGCAAGACTTAAACATTATTTTTCGATTAAAAAATAATAAGTACTGACTTTCGCTCTCTAATCATGTTTAAATAATGAAATCATAATTACTGAACATAATGTTAATTGCTAAAATTTTCTTTCTAACACCTAGGGTTATTGTGTTTGAAATGTAATGCAATTATTTTTACACCTAAGTTGTAAAATTATTTAGAGGTGAATATAGATTTTTAATTTAACTTGGAAATATACGTTGCTGACGTAAAAGGTTCTTTAAGTATTATTATGACTTTAGTGGCGTTGAGCCTTTAATATATTGCACCTTAAAATCCCTTGACGAATATTTATACTCAGATACTGAATATTAAGTGTCACGTTTTGGAACTTAAACAATAATATTATTATTATATTATAGTCTCATAAGCATGGCTGTTGACGAATTTCCCCGTTGCATTATATTACGATCACTTTTATGATAAATAAAGCCCGTTGAATTTATTTTATACTTGATGCAAGGTAAGGTCACATTGTATAATATTCCAAAAATAATAAAAGTAAATTAACTTATTATTACGTGACTGAAATAATATTGTTTTAATACCTATAACCCACTTACACAAGACTATAATAAATACGAAATCCTCTTCACTGTTAATATTGTGCGATGATATTATATTTTGCGCAAACGAATGTGACGGATATCATCTCTAAAGGTCAAGAGTGTAAGTTTATTTTGTAATAATACAAAACATGAGATTTATGTTATTATTATCTGCAACCTGTACAGTGACTGAAAACATTTTAAAAAATAATTTCAAAATTAAATTGTCTATAAGGTTCGCCCACCTATAATAATAATAATAATAACACGCTTATTTTAATAATATTAGTACCTACCAAATCATTTATAGAATAATTAACGTTGAATTTTTAAATATCTATAGTAGTTTGATACTAAATTGTTAGAAATTTATTTTTAAATTTAAATAATCTTTACGTACAGATTACAGTATATATATCTATATCTATCTGTATACACTAGTAACTAGTAAAAATATCCAGATCCATAATAACCGAGAAAAAAATATCCAGGCCAAAAAAATTTCCGAGAAAAAAGAACATAAAAATAAAAAGCTGATACTGCTGATAGGTGTAGTATTAGGTGTTGTAAGTGAGAAGCAAGTTAGGATACATACGATTTTCGTCAAAATGTAATCTTACATCGTTTATTTTTTTTTGTCTATGAACAACTTTTCTCAACCTTACCTTACATTTATTTTCGATTAATTTGCTCCATTTACTTCGTCTGAATAAAGTAGTATTTAGTATTCAAATATTATAAATTTAAAATGTATATTAGTATTAACACTACGCTGTCAATCCGTAATTTTTATCCTTATCATTTTGGAATAACTGTGCCCATCCCACGTTATTTTTATAGCGATATTTGTTTACACTAAATATTTAAAAAAAATTACTCAGAAAAATGCAATAATATTATTTTTACAAAAATAAATGATTACATTTTTCGGCGAGACAATTTCTGTTATTCATTGCATCAAATATCTCATATTTGCGTTTAAGAACTTTGATCGTTTTAATAGTGTGTATTTATACACGTTGTTTTTAAGTTTATGTTTAAAATGAACAATATATAAGTACGAGTAAAATAATACAAAACACTTGCTGCAGTTATGTCACAAGAATAATATAATGTACCAAGTGCCCTTATTCAGTAAAACTTTACCCCCTATCCTACGCAAGTATAAAATGACCCACATTAGCTTGTCTTTGAATTGTTCCAAAACTTATTTTTAATGTATATATATACACGAGTTTCCTTTGTAATATGTTCGCATCATATTCGCATTGTATTATATCCTTTAGAATTCTCACACTCGGCTATAATATAAAACTTTTATTTATCAAATACGAATTTATTATTTGTCGCGTCCATATGCTGTCACAGCAGCAATTTTTTTTTTTTTTTTTTGTTATTCAAACAAAATACATACATTTCATTTGTTCCGTTTTTAAATCGATAGTATTGAGTGGTACGATTCTAGTAATATCAGTGATTATTATTTGCAACAATATTTAAAAAAAAAAAATTATTTACAGTAGTAAAAATACTCAAATAATACTCGAATACAAATAAATACTCGAATATATATAACTGAATTGCTTAACGTCCAATACACACATGTTTAGAGTGGTTAAATCGTTTTAAACCGATATCTTACAACCGTCTAAATAATTGTTCAAACTAAATCTAAACTTAACTCGCAGTAAATTATAGATTATCTTACCTGTGATTTTATGAAACTTATTAATTGTACTTATTAAAATGTAATAATTACGAATTTCTGTTTGTCTTTTTTAATTTGTAACTACAAAATAGTTAAAATATTTTATGCGTTTTTAAAGAATTTTAAAATACACTTGAACACAAGCTGTAGATAAAAATAAATTAAAACACTACTATAGAAGCATTAAAACAAAAACAAAAAAAACATTGACAATTTAAATAACTCGAAATTTTCAGAATATATTGAAAATTGTACCATATACTTATGTGATGAAAATTTAAGGTTTTTACGATTATTTTTAAACGAATTACAAATAATAAAAACAAAATCAAAATAACAAAAACCATTATCGCCTAAATAATCCTGTTTTCCAGACGTTTTTTCCAGGGATTTTTTCATTTTTCGAATGACCCGTCATTGCTCGCATGTGAAAAATTCCCTCACATAGTTTTTAAGTTGAGAACTACTGTCTTGCTATAGTTATATCTTCTCTGAATTTAAAGGGCCCTAAAACAACCTATTTAAAAATAGATTTATTGAAAAAACAGTGAATTTATCGGTCTGATTAGGAGACATAAGTAATGTTGTATTCGGAAAGAAACAAATCGTATTGTGCGATCAAACTCTTCTATAAATGAGGTTAGCAAATCGCGCGAATAATTGTGTTCAAATTATGTGTCTCAACACATTACACAATGGGTTAAGAATACAACAAAGAAAATCAAAAAATTAACCGCCTCAGTGCACTAATTATAAACATAAAGGATAAACCCCGGGAGTTTTCTGGTATATAAACTGTTTTCAGACAGAAAATAAAATTTAAAAAAAATTGAAAAAAAAAAATCGTATTTTTCGTCTTTTTCGGTTTTTCTCAATTATTATATAAACTACTTTAGATAAAAACAAATGACTTTCTCTGCCGGTGGTTACAATATATTAAAATGAACAAAATCAATGTTTTGTAATTTTTAGATTAAAGCGATATTTTCGGCAGAACATCGTGAACAAAAATTAAAAACAAAGGCCACGGTACGCCGTAAATATTTATCTATAATTTTCTTTCGGGTTTTTCAAAATTATTTGATAACCCATTTGAAAATCAAAAAATGACCCGTTTAATGCATCAAATTAATAAAATTGCCTTTCAGAAAACGTGCGTTTTAATGTATACAATGTAATATATCGGATTGTTGGAGACTATTTTTATTAGAAAAGTTATTTACAGACAGAAAAAAAAATCCACATCATGGTAAATAAATCAATAGACCCCTCGCTACACCACAAATCTAAAATCGATTTCGCTACGACGTTCCAGTCGCCTCTACGGTTTTCACATAGAAATATAGAACCTACAGAATCTTACTAATAACTAATAAGATATGTTTTATAAAAAGAGAAAACGTTTGTTTGCATACGTCAGCGAAAATCTCGAGAATCACTTGACCGTATCCGACGATTCTTTTTTTATTCGTTCGATTCGTATTGTCGTCACCGGACGGCGACGTTCTCGTCGAAATCGGTTGAGATCCCGTACGGTCGCTAATACAAAACATCAACACACGGCCAACGTACTGTGCGATACAACTGTGCGATTAAACTCGGTATTATTTTGATGGTCGGACGAAGGCTGCGGCGAACTGGCGGGTAGAGGGCGGAGCGGGTGTGCAAACCCGGTATAATGTAATAAATAATAATATTTTTTTTTACGACGCGCTGGACAACGCGTATATTTCCATAATTATATTAACTTTATTGTACAAAATATAATACTTTAATATAAATAATATTATGTGGTGTTATTTTTTTGTTGTCGGCGTAAAACGCGTCAGCCGTGTCGTTTCGTACACATGCCAGTCATACGGGTAGCCGCGTACGCGGCTGTAAAATGACAATAATCGTTATTCCGGACGATCGGACCGATGGCTACTCGCCACGGCGGTAACGGCCACGGTAAACGTCGGTATTATAACAATCGATTTGTGTAACGACGGTGGCGGTGCCCGGAACGTGATCGCCGCGGCGCCGGGCGTCCATCGGGTGCGAACGATAATGACAACAAAATAGCATAACGAATTATTATTATCGTCCGGAGCACGGCGGCGGCGCGTGGGTGTCGGCCGGTGGCGGTTTTCGGACGGCGTGTAGGAGGCGGCGGAGAAGAAGGCGACCGCAATAACGACGACACATCGGCACGACGACGGCGGCGGCGGGGCGGGCACGGGGGTCGGCGGCGGCGGCGGCGGCGGAGGCGATCGCGTCATGCGTGTCGCGTCTGTCCGCGGGGTCACGCCGACGCGCGTCGTCCGTGAGCCGACCGGATTGGGCTAATCCCGCAACGTCGTATAAGCGGCCGTACGCATTCGACGACACGAACGCGCGCGCATGCACACACGTCGCACACGTGTCCGACGACAATTATTATTATTATTATTATTATTATTGTTATTATATCGTAGTCGCCGTCCCGTTTATCGCGGCGTGAGAGAGAGGGGCAGTGTGCGGAGGGCAAAGCCCGAGGAGGATCGAGGCGAAGGTCCGCGTCCCGGGCCGCAAGTCCGGCGATGATTCGAAAACCCCTCCACGCACCGTCGGCCGCCGACGGCTGTTTAAAATAATTCGAACGACAGTACGGTATTATCGGACGTACGTTTCGCCGACGCCGCGCCGTCACGTTCGAGTTTTATCGTTTTCGAAATGTGTTCATTAATTTGTGTTCCGCAAACCACCCCATCCCCCGTCCCTGTGCCGGTCTATTGCGAAACTCAAATATTCGTACGAATATTCGCCGAGAAACCGTCGTCGTTTTTAAGGGGAGGGGGAGGAGACAGCACGAACGATGAAAATGCCCGCGCAAATCACCCGCTGCAATAATTATCTGCGTGGGAAATCTATTGAAAATTCTAAACGAGCGGTCGATAAGTTCGTTCTGTAAACGATTAGATTAAAAGGTCTTTTTGTTTGTTTCGCGCGAAAAGATTTTCGCCAAGACCCAGACATCAATCGTCACCGCATCTTAAGGGGTTTTGATTCTGTGTTTTTCCATCTTTGCCAAACACACGCGCAACTTAGGAATTTAGACGCGTTAACATTCCGACGTACGGATTGATCCGATGAAGCGATGCTAATTCTGAAAACAGCCGTTGAATTTTTCGTCGAGTTTACTATCGATTTTGCCGCATTTTTCTTGGATTTTATCCTTCTTAATCCTACAGAAATCGAATCAAATTCCTTAAATTGATTAAAATCGATCTCGTCACTCTGGACTAAGGAATATTTGTATCGCTTCACACTCGATTGATCGGTACACGCCCGAATGAAAACACGTCTAATAATTCCTGTGCGGCGAACGAGCGTTATAGACGAATCACGGCTCCAATCTTCTTAAGGAAATTTATAAACGAGAACGTACACAGTTTAATACGTATATATTTTGTACGGCGATTTCGATTCCCGCTAATATTGTTCTTCTGGACTGATGCTTTTTCTCATATTTGTGTCTTGCCATATCGAACTCATTTCAACTCTTCATCAAAAATGAGTACAGACGTTCGGAAAACAATTAAAACCGTTTGTATCGTCCTCTCTTATAAACTGACACACAAGTGTGCTGGAAACGCCCGAAACATTTCGTTAACTCACAATGGAATGTAACCCAGTATTTCGATTTGAAATCATTTGCTAGTAAGCCGGAAAACGATTACATAAAAACAAATCGCGTACAAGTACGGTGAAAATGCCCGACCGAAAGAACCGGGAAAATAGCCGGTGCCACGGTACAGAAAAATCGAATCGCGTAACTGCGACGTGGCGTACAAGACGTTCGGCCGTCGCATAATGAATAATCCGATTTCGTCATTACGCTCCCGTCTCTCTCTTCCCCCTCACCCCCCCCCCCCCCCNCGCATAATGAATAATCCGATTTCGTCATTACGCTCCCGTCTCTCTCTTCCCCCTCCCCCCCCCCCCACGGTACTTATTTCTTTCGTGGCGATAATAATCGCGCGCCGCATACACACACGAACGTATCGTTGCGTCACTAACACTGTCATCGTGCACACGGTATCATATCGCAAAATCCGTGTAATGTACTAAAAAACGATAACGTTTCGATAAGCATTCGCGTACGTGTCTTACGCGCGCGATTCGCAGAAACCCGGGCGTAAGACGCGATCGTGTTCTCTGTGCGAACCGAAAACAACGACACGATTTCTCCCTTCGCGCCCCGACAACACAATAATATTATGTCATCCGCTGACGTCTCGCATAATATTTTTTTTCCGCGCGATTCCGCATAGACGCATTATGTGTTAATATTGTCGTATTACTGTCGTCGTGTTCGCCCCGGGGTTTTTTTTCCCCGTCGACACCAGCCGCCGCGGGATTTCGAAACAAATCCTGCGTCGGACGACAATAATACGCGGCCCCGGTCGTCCAACAGGTGTCCGTTTCCTTTATCTCTTTCCCGTCGCGCCCGCACTGCCCGTACATTATATTATTATTATTATAGGTGCAGCATGCTCCCGGAATTCGATTTCGACCGGAGTCGCCTCCTGTCCCGCGTACGATATACGAGCAGACGGATTCTACGAGCGTATTATATTCGCTGTGCGATTTGCTAATAATTGTGGCGAACCCCCCCCCCCCCCCCCTCCCGTACATATCGAGACGGCCGTGAAATCCGCAACCTCGACGGATTTACGATCGTGAACGCAATCGATATTCATCTGTGGGCTCAATTTACCAACGCCCCACAGTCCACAGATGGACACCGATTGGGTCGAAACAAAATACTGACAACGAGACTATATATTATTAAGAGAACATATTATGACGAAGTACAATAATAATAAAATTAGTGGAATTGACTTGATTAAAATATAATACTTAATGCAAAATTATTTTAAATTGATTTATTTAGTAATATTTTGTATTGATTGTTAATTTACATTAAATATTTCAAACCGTGAAACGACACTGCACTGGCGTACCTAGATTCGTCTTATAGAGGACGGTGAGCGGGGAAGGTAAAATTGAAGGATGCGATGTGTTCAGACAATGCATTAGAAAAAAAAAGTCACGTGATAACTGCACCAATGTTATTAATAGATTTGGCTAAAGGGCGTTATACATTTTTTAATCGATATATTATATTTTATTGTAAAATGCATTTCAATTCATAAAATAAGCAACTTTCTTTTTCAATCAAGAATCCTCCCCCCATCCCCGATAGCACTATCATTTTCCGTTTTGAAAAGATCAACGGTTTGAGTGATGTTATGGGTTTTTTACCATTCTTAAAATTTCGATTACATTATTTTTTATACTATATCTATTCTGTGGGCTGTGAAAATTGCGCAATACAAAACACCAAAAATAATGTTCGTGTATTGTTTTATAATAAAATAATAGAGGAAAAACAAAATTATCGATATAGTTAAAACTCGTAAATAAATATATAAATACAAAATGTGTATACATATACAAATAAAATAAACAAATGAATCAATGCGTCGTCTGGAGTATTATGATAAGTGTATTGTACGGCCGATTTCGAATTAAAAATTCATTGTCAGATATATCACAGTCAAAATGTAAAACGCGACTGAATATAAAAAAATTAAATATAAGAATACATAGAAAAAAGTATTATACAAATTGGTCGTTTTACATAGAACAATATATAAAAATAATTTAATTTAATAAGAGAGATTATTTAAAATTAGTTATTATTAGACATAGATATGTTAAGATATGTTATCAAAACTTATGTTATGGTTATTTTCTAAAACATGTTGAGCGAAATTTGAATTAGGGGCGGTCTTTTAAATTTTATTTCCGAAATGTGTTCTTCACATCTAATTTTAAAATTTCTATTTGTCTTACCTACATAAAATACATTTCAGTTACATTAAGCAAGTTTATATATAGCAGCGTTTTCAAAAGAAGGGGGATTTTATGAAGTTTTTGTTCTAATATTTATTTGTTTGATTAAATTGTTATATGTCTTAAAAGCGATTTTTACATTATTTGTATATAGTTCAGAAGTTTAGCATATTCGTTAGACATATTATTTTTATATTTCATATTACAATAGTTAACATTATTTGGTGAATTGTGTATTATTAGATTCTGAGCATAGGGAGAAAACTATTAGTTTTACTAAGATTTTTTTCTTTCTTTCTTCTAGTCTGTGGACACGTTTTTTCTAGTAAGGTTGCTCCGATTTTATGTAAAAGCAATTTTTCTGAAAGCTCAAGTTATCTGGATAGTGTTTTAAAAAGGTCATTTTTTTGGTTTTTGAAGTCATATTTTAAATAAAATCATTTAAGTGGGAAAAACGTAGGAAAACGTATAATTTCCCGATTCCATTATTTTATAGAAACATGGAAGACATTTTCTATCAGAAAATATGATTTAATCAAAAATCACAAAATACCTTTTTTGTTGCCTTTTTGATTTACTTTCTTACGGTATGATCACCAAAACTTTTGAGTCACTTTTGAACTTTTAAGGAATTTTAATGTTTGGAAGTTTTTTGCTGTAATTTGGTTATAAATACACGTAGAGACTTAAAACTTGGTAATAATATTTATGTTGAACTTACCTAGACGTGGTAAAATTTCCAAAATCATTGGATGAACTTTTTTTTTAATAAACGTTTTGAAAACAAATTTAAACGAAAATCGCGAAAAAAAAATTACAGCACTTCAAATTATGTATTACAGAGTTTCGCTCCAAATTGTCTTTTGTCAAGCAATAGTTTATCATTGCTTACAGATATAAATGAAATAACCTTATGTATCTCACCTACAACAGTGGCCGCTCCCATCTCCAGTATCGGCTCTTATTATTATTTTTTTTTAAGACGTTTACAAGTTTTTTAATATTATTCAAATTTAAATTATGTCTATGGGCTATATTATAGTTGATACTGAATTTGTGTTGATAATTGTGTTTATTTAATGGAATACTTTCAAGTCTATAGAATATTGAATGAAAAAATTGTATTTTTTGAGAATAAGGGCGATTAGAATCATGTGGTATTATAGTACCAGTTTATATAGGTTTCCTGTAAATACTAAAATCAAATTTATTGTTTATTATGGAAAATGTAAGATCGAAGAAATTTAATTTATTATTCATTTATACTTCAAGTGTAAATTTAATATTTTTATTTATTTTGTTTAAGTAGTTAACTAAATTGTCTGCTTGTCTATTTGAACCTCTAAATACAATGAATTTGCCAACAACATACTTGCTTTTATAAATGGACTGTATATATTGTTGTTAATAATATTATTGGCTTCATAATTTTAGATGTAAATTTCAGATATTTTCAGATTTTGTTTAATAATAACTAATTTTAAATAATCTCTCCTATTAAAATAAATTATTTCTATATTTTAAAACAACCAATTTATATAATTATTTTTTTCTATGTATTCTTACATTTAATTTTTTATATTCAGTTGCATTTTACATTTTGACTGTGATATAATTGATGAATTTTTAATTCAAAACCGGTCGTATAATACACTTATCATAATACTCCATGCAACGCATTGATTCATTTATTTATTTTATTTTTATATATACATTGTTTTATTTGTATATTTATTTACTTAATTTATTGTATTATACTTTTTGTCATCACCAATCACAAAACAATAATTTATTAAGTCTGCGCGTTTACTCGATACATATCGATGTTAAAAAATAATAAAACATCGATTAATCGATAGTATCGGATATCAGTTAAGTTCTATCAACGAACAATATAGACGCGACACTCGATCAACTGATCGATTTTTGTTTCTGTGATCTGAACTATGGAAACGTTTCCGTTAATCAACCTAAATGTTTCTGGCTCGTTGGAGTATATATTCTTTTAGGAATTTTTACTGTTCGATTATCGAGTATTTTCGGTTTCAGAGACTCAAGGTCATCATTGTATTTAACACTGAGTCACTAAATATATGAAGTATTTAAGACTTGGTTAATTAGTTCTATCGATTAATCGAGTATTCCGTCGATATCGACATTTAATTGTATTGATGACATTGATAAAAATTAACAGTTTATATTTTTTGTGGCTATTACCGTTATCTCGCCGTCATTTCACAACAGCTTATAAACATAATATTTTAACGTTCCATGACAACCACAACGTATAGTCGTTTATTTCAGATATATTTATATCGGTCTTAAATTAACCGATACTATCGATTATTCGACAGTACTATTGATAATGTTAATTTACCGATAGTATTGATTGATTGAGCACGATTATTTTAAGACAATCGACCATCGAATATTACGAATGACTTTCGTACAGGACTAAAGCTTCCCATACACTGCGATGAAACACGACGGTTTTCGTCGTGCTGCATCGTCAGTTGTATACACTTCGTGTTGCAGAATCGAGTGATGCTTCAGTTTTTATTAAATTTATTTCAGCTGAGGTATAGCAAATATTTTTCGTTTACCATGAATCCGACGCAATTGATAACAGTGGCTGTGGCAAGTTCTGTTTTATCAAAGAAAAAGACTAGAAAACGTTCGGTATGGACTAAAGAGTGGTTGTTAAAAAGAAAAAATGTTCTCATATAAATTTAATGAATGAGCTGAAGTTACATCCTGGAGATTGGTTTAATTATTTAAGAATGGATGAGCATACTTGTTTTAAAAAACACGTCGGTGATTGTCGGAAAGTCCACACATTACGATTATAAACGACAAACGGTACACCCCGTCGTGTTTAAAATCAAGACCGGACAGAAATAAAAACCGTCGGGTTTCATCATAGTGTATGGGAAGCTTAACGATAATGATATCGGTTTATTTCATTGTGCACTTTCACCGTTCATCGAAATTCGCTCTATTAATAAACGTCGTATATAACAAGAACGCTAATAATTATCCGTGATAGTTACTATCACGATAATATCACAACATCGATTACCGCGAATCACAATAATAGTATTTGTATAGTAATTATATAGGTTTGGGTACCAATATATTCTAAATTCAATACTAATTTATTATTATAAATTACCTTTTCTGTGTGTCTGTGATTTGTATTTAATTTTTACCGTTTCACGTTTATATACAATAATTTTTTTCTTTACGTTTACTTTTATTAATCATTAGATATACATTTTTGTCTCTTTATATTACATATAATTAATAATCTTTAAGTGCTATACATATAATATATCATCAATAATTTTACTCGTGTTTATATGGACCTATACACGAGCATACTCTGTGAAAACCAATACTGAACCTAGCTGAGTAAAAATAATACTCTTTTTTGAGAAATAAATAAAAAAAAAAAAATAAATAATAATAGTTACTATTATAACGCGGGCCGGGATTTAAGCTACAATAAACTACGAAATTATAATATTAAATTATTGATTAGTGATATACACGACTAAAATAATTTATAATGTAATATTAATAACAAAAAAAATTATTGTTATCTAGAGAGAAAAAAATTAAGTATATCGATTATTAATATTGCGCACATTATACAGGATGAACCGTTTTTTTATTATTAATATTATTTATTCACAGTCCGTTAATCGATAGTTAAAAGTCGCGTATATGTGTATCATGTAATAATTGTATACCCCACTATAAATAATGTAATAATAATAACGTTTCGTATCAGTAAAATAGCTGATTTTCATAATGAAATTAATTGGCTGAAGCGTATATAATCGAAAAATTAAAACCGCATGGTAATGTTTATAGTAACAATTTCACTTTATCCTATACACCTATACTATACTATAATAATAATATCAATAATAATAATAATAATAATAATAATAATAATAGTACTTTAATAATAAATTAGAAACAATCAAAATCGAATGGATTCAGTCAGTATGCGTAGTCCGTTAGTAATGCGTGTTCATTTCGATACGATTCTAACATCAGCAGAAATTATTTTTTCTTTGTTAAAGAGTTCCCGTAACCGATGACCAATTCGAATAATTAAAAAAAAATCTATCGCGAGCAAATATTGTACTAGTCTATTAATTTTGTTCGTGTCAACGGTTGTGATTTTTGAACGTGAAATTTTTAAGTAATTCAATTTCACACATCGTCAATCACAGAGTAGGTATTATTTAACGAAACGCACGTCAAGGAACCAGCAATATTTCGAGTTAACGGCCATAACCGAAATCGACGTTTTTTTAAAGGTACTTGTAAAATAACTGTAGCAGGCATATTATATTGTATGCGTTTTCATCATTTTTATCGTTCGGTAAAAAAAAAAAAACAACAATAAATAGTTTATATCGCACTGCATCTCGTAACCCATAACGATTTTGTAAGTAGGTATAATTTTAATTCACATATTTTTACTTGGTTTTTTTCAAGAGATTCTTATAGGATTTCGTACATTTTGAACGAGGATTTTTGATTTTTCTCAAGCGACAAATAGATATTTAATTTTATAATTTAATGACTAGTAAAATATAAAATTATTATTTAAAATGTACAAACGATATTATGAGCTTGTAGAATTCTCAAACATTTTCGTTCGTTTTCCGAATTATCGACGTAAAACAGTTTTTTACATAAGCAACCGCAGAAATTTGGGGGGAAGGGGTAAGTAATATAAAAACAAAACATAATATATTATATACGTAATATAAAATACGTTTTAATGTATGTAATATATTTATAAAAATGTACCTAATACATATTAGGTACATTGTATTATGTAAACTAACCCTATTAGGTTACCACAATGTAGGTTATTTATTCTTAAAAATAAATTGTAATCGCCTTGTATCTCTTAAGACACGTAAAACAATTTCACCATACAAATTATTATTTCTTATAAGATCATTTACCTACCCTATATCTATGTATATTTATCATGCATAAAGCATCGAGTCTTTCGTCCGTGATGGTTGAGCGTATCCAGGTTTTAACCCTTCACAACGCGCTGCAGGGCCGTTTTGCAGTACAAGTAGTTGCCGGGATTGCCAAAAATACTGATTGGTAAAATATTTCTCTTTTTTTCAGTATATCTAAAACATTTTTTGATTTCTATGCAATTTAATGATGGAATATAGTATGTGGGAAACGAGGTGGGAAACTTGACACATAGTTCTAAAAATATACACACAATCAATCGACTATCTTATCTAATGTTTTTATGATGATGATCTTTTTTTTGTGTAATCTCATTTAATTTTACATATTTTGGAAATCTAGAGGAAGCGAGAGAAAATACCCTACCGTGTGCCTATGGTGTTATATAGAACATCACGATGGATGCCAATTGATAAAATTAAAAAAATTGCTTTAGAAATTCGGTTTTTTTTTTTGTTTTGTTTTTTCGAGTATATTTTGGTGATTTCCCATCATGCAGTGGCGGATTCTGAATTTCAACCGGCCCAGGTGAATTTCGTTTTACCGGCCCAATTGTTTGTTTTATATATCTGTGGACTCGGCACATTTAACCACCTTGGCGTAGTTCGTTAGGCAATCATATTATCTTAAATCGCGATCATTTTTGTCTTCATTACCAAAGACGTATTGTAAAATACGGTGTAGGTAATACAAATTATGTTTATCGCGAAACAATATTTTAAAAAATAAAATAGAACATTTTTATGTGTAGGTAAAATCAGTTTTATGATAATAAGGATATAGAGTCATGATCGTGCTCTAACCCACCGGGAAGCTTCACAATCCACCACTGCCATCATGTTTGCATATTTAATGTAGGTTTTTAGGGAATATATTAATTTTTCGCGTTAAAATCCGTGGAAAAAAATGTTCATCCACATTGGATTGGAATATGAACGGGTAATAACAACCTGGCAGATCTTTAATTTATTTATATTTTATATATCGAACACGACGCGAACATGTGCACTATATCGTCTTTCCGACTTTGTCGATTTGTCGTAATATTATACTCACCTATACTATACGTTAAATGTATGTAAAAAAAAAAAAATAATAAGTAAATACAACGCGTTAACTGCTGCGCGCTTCATATACCTTCCGAAGAGTCCGCGTCTGTTTTTTTTTTTTTTTTACAACACAAATCGATTTATTCCTAATTCGTTGGTTGAAAAGTCAAAAAGACAGAATACTTTCATACCGTATGCGTATATGCTAAAATACGTGACAGAGTCGAAAACTCATACACGACAAATTGCAGGTGAGCGCGTCACACAATATTTATACTTACGAACTCGCATAGTTTCCGAAAATGTCGACTCGCTCGCTGCAACAGTTTCGGCGCGGCAAAGGCTACGCGCCGTCGGATTCCCCGGCGCCAAAGGGTTTTCGGTCTGTATATATTTAATATGTACACTTAATACAATATCGTATATACCTGGGCCGGTAGTGCGGGCAACAAACTCGTCGAAAGAATGTTTTTACACGGGAGGTGGGCCGGGGGAGGGATGAGGCCATAAATTAAAACGAAAGTGGCGCGCGCCGTAACCGGTGTAATTAATAAGGAACGTTGAGGGATTTTCATTTAATTTAAGTGAGACGGCGAGTCCCGCGAGTGCGCCGGGACCGTTTCGCCGGCGACTGGGTTCCACGGGTAATTGTTACGGGCGCGCTAACGAGAACAGCCCGTAATCCGTAATAATAAAGTCGAAGAAGTATTACTCTTGTGTCGCTTTTTCGGTGGGTACCGCGAGGAAATAAAACGTTGTTTGATGACGGACGTCTCGAGATGACCGATGACGACGCATATCGGACCAGGCGATGCGTACCGAGAAAAACGCGACCACGGAAGCTGTTTTAGAAAATGCTGACGATTATTTCTGAGAGTAAAAACGTTTTTCGATAACGTTTTGGGAAAACGTATTGCACGAGAAAATTACACGCTAAACGAAAAAAATGAAGACTAGGAGAAAATTAGGAGGATAGTAAAATGGAATATTGGCGTATGTCTGTTTTGAATTTTATCAAAGGGCGTAAATTATAAACGTATATACGATTTTTCCCGAAATTTCGAGACGATGAAAATCGGACGTACGTTTACTGCTTACTGCCATTTTTGGATTTGGGTTTTTTAAAACTACAATCATTTATAGTACGCTATTAGTTTGTATTTGTTTGATATATTTCAGACTTTGTTTGGATTTCCTACGTCTATTAAAACTAAAATACTGATGAGAGGCTGTAGAAACGTTGCTCAATCAAATATATATAGCAGTACACGGGAACCATGTATAGAACCAGCGTTGAGTGTTCTTTTATCAAGCTGGCCGGTAAAATATTTTATTAGTTTTGAAACGAAAAAAATGTAGAAGTAAAATAGAATATTAGTTTTGAGGACCAGAACAATAACGCTAGCCGGGGAAGCTAACGACAATAAGGAGTTATAGGTTATAGTTAAGACTAATAGTTTTAATTATTTAGGATCTTTTGTAAAAAAGAATGGTGGCTTTCATAAACATATGAATACGATTATGATAATGATAATTCATGATATTGTGTGGTTGGATAAAATGGAGAGGAGTAATTTGTTTAATTTGAGTAAAATGTTTTTAAATTATCCACTATACATTTATATAAAGACATACAAAATTGGCAAATAAATTGGAAGAGGATGAGTCTATATTCTAAGAAGTAGGGTTTATTTTTTATTAGCCTAGAGACTACCTAAAAAGCGCCTCTGAATATAATCCACAAGCACCGTATTGTCGTGGTTGAATGAAAAACCACGTCATGGTTTACGAAAAAGCCGAAAACTAAGAGTGGTATCAAGATTTTTTTCCTCAAGCAAAAGCTGATTACAAGTAATCAACTAATAATTTCACTTTAACCAATAAATATTATTTATTGTAAATTTGTTTGTATAGTCAAGTTATTTGAACTTTTACTTTTACTTATATTTATTTTGTGTTAATAATTTGTATTCCAAAATTTGTATATATAAGGTAAGTAGTGTATAACAAGTTATATCCCTGCAGGTTTTCTTTAGCTATGATGGAAATCGATCAACGCTAACAATTGAATTAATAGTGTGTCCTCTGAAATCGGGTATGTTTTAGGCATTTTTTTTTTAATGAAATAAAAGTTTGGTTTTAAGTACTTAAATGTTTGGTTTTTTTTGTTGATAAAATCTCATTTAGGTATCTTATTTAATAATAGTGAAATCTTAATTTATACGTACTCATATTTTAATACAATATAAGCGTTAAAAATAAATAGTACGACTCGTATGTGTGTTTGTAACACGACTATTAAATTATTTAGAACCAAATGAACCAATTATAACTGTTGCGAAACTAATAAGAAAAGCATAACGTAGGCACTAATCGTTTCTATATTGTATACAGGATGGTCCCATGGAGATTGCTGATTTCCGTCAACCCATTGACGAGATAATTCACTTTTCAGTTTGGTCAGATCGAGAGTATTGGTACATCATTTGTGGTGGCATGGTGTGTGGCGTTTGAATTTTGTCCGACTACTCTCCTCCTACCCAAATGCAAAAATAGAATATCTCGTCAATATTTTGACAGAAATCAAACATTTCAACATCAATATGTATTTAAAATAACACGTTTAAATATAAGTTGTAATTTGAAAATCAAAACTAGGTACCTGCACCTAGTCGATTTACTTCCACAAAAATAATAATAATAAAATATAATGGCGATATAACATTTTAGAAATGTTTGTTTATTCAATTTACAAAAAAATAAAAAAGTTCATACTTTCCATAATATGTTAACGAGTGTATATTATGTTTGTGGGACACTCTGTATTATATTAATGTTAGTTCGTATTTGTTTTAATTTTTCGGAATGAAAATTTGTAACCGGTAATTATTATATGGCAATTATTGTGGCAATTATATTATTCGATTAGATATAGTTTTGTTGTTATCTGTTTCGAATTCGAGCGAATCAACTAACTGTCATACGTCTCATTATATTATGCTGCAAGATACCACATTTAATTAGGTAATAATGTAATAAAACTATATTGGTTTTTAAAAACGACTGATGATGGATATGCTATATATGTATATGTATTTTTATACAGATGACAATAATTTTCTAACAGTAATCACATTAACGATTATTGGAAATGCTTCAATATATTTTATCTGTTTTATTCTATAACTTTTTTTTGTTTATCGTGTAGCCTTTGGTATATATTACTGATCGGGAGCTGGGGTATTTATATATGCAAAATAATTCCGAATGCTTGTATAGTCTGGTGACTGGTCCGTAACACACATTTTTCCAAAGTGTCAACCGTGGTTCCCCTCCAATCGTATTAAAATGAAAAAATGTTCATCTGTTAAAGACATCGCTGCCATACAATGCGTAAACAATGCAGGTAATTTAAGAGATCCGTTTGGATATTTTCTATTATCCGATTATACCATCATAAGTCATTCAAAACAATTGCTGGAAGTCGGTTTATTTAAAAAATAAATACATTTGTTGTTATTTACGTAATATAGGATACGATGTTTTACAAAGGAAAACTGCTTACGGAATCAAAGCCACTTTTGCACAGGTACGTAAGTTACTTTTATTACATTTATGTAATGCTTGAATTAAGAAGGAACGAATGGGTATGGGGCCCCTTTACAGTTTTTTTTTTTTTTTTTTGTTTTTTCAGTGTCCCATTATAACTTATCATTTATTTTAGGACGGAGGAATGGTGCGTATCTTTTTGCAAATAATTTAGATATATTCAATATTTTAGATATTTTGTACATTAGTAACGTTATCGTTCTATCATAAATTATTATCATTATTGTATCTCCTGTATTTTACATTTGCTCTGAGTGATAATTAAGGTTGCGATTTCAATGAACTTTGCTGAATTACTTACCAAATCTTGCTGCTCATATTGTCACAAATTTATTTCTTTTAATATTGATTGAGAATAAGAGATTTTATTTCACATTTTTATTTACAATTTTTACTTTAAAGTGATTGTCTTCATTATTTTAGAGCATCAAATGTGAAATTTTATTTTAGGATTTTTATACACTAACATGTTCTTTATATACCGAGAAAACAATCAGTAATAGGAATTCGTAATAAATTATCGGACATTGATAATGAAGACAAAGAAATTATAAATAACAAGTGGCCATATCTATGAGAAAAATCAACGCGGTACCTATAATTAAAATCACTACAATCCCTGTTTAATAATCTGTTTGAGTAATAAAATCGATAACAACATGGCTATACACTTCAGTACGAGTAACTCTAGTTAATAAATCCAATTCGAGAATGTTCAGTTCAATCTATACAATTTTTTTAGAATAATTTATACTCAAATATCATTTATACCCACAAAAATAATTAATAATATAAACATTTCATGGGTTAAATCGAATTACATAGTCCAAGAGACGCTTATTTTGTTTTAAGTCTCATAGTCCTTTTATTTTTCCAAGTCGATCACTGCATTTATGTATAGTGAATTATGAACAAATATTAATATCTCCCATAACCTTATACTTTTGATATAAAAATATAGTTGCTGGCTACAATGGTGCAAAGTCTGTTGCTGGTAAACGTTGGAATGGAGTTGTCGATCTGTACAATAGTGATCGGTTCGCTTTACAAAAATCCCAATGCTGAGTTCCATCTGTCAGTTACAAATTCATCTTGGTATGGTAAGTACAAATCATGCGTCATAATAATAACTTTTATCCAGTATTTTATTCATAGTACAAAGTACACAATTCAACAAAACGACATGAAACTAATGCTCGTGTGTTTATGAATTAGTGTATTTTTTTTATTTTGTTCATCTTGAATTTTATTATATCAAATTATTTAAAATTGCACACATTTTGTTTTATGTTAAACATGTTTGAAAAATAACTAATATTATCGAGATTACATTAGACTCAAAAAATTAGAGATTTAAAATAATGTCCGAAATCTCAAAAATATTAGCCAGCAAACCAGATTTTCTTGTTGGATTCTAATAAATAAATAAACTATAATATAATATTTTCGATTCGTCATAGATCATTTACATTTGAAAATGTCAACGAAATCATTGTGATTTAATAAAGTCATGTTTATATTTGTATGCCAAGCCAGCTGATTAAAAACAGTTTTCTACATTTTTTTCGCATATAATTGCATATTTTGATGTATTAACATCTCAAACTATAATTATAACAGTTCACGATGTCACGTAAGCGTATATTTTTGCAGAAGAATTTTAAAAATCATTGCGTGAATAATTCATAGAAGAAGATGATTATTATCTTCCACGCTAAATAATATTATTCTTCGGTATTTATAATAGACGCCGTAAATTTCGTCCGTAAATATATATTTTACCGTGTGTCTACTTATTTTTTAAAAAACGACATTTTAGATTAATGGTTACCGAAACAGTGTTGAATTTACCATAATATTTTCAGGAAGCATTCTCTATCTGTGTCAACCATTTGGAAGTTGTTTGTCGGGCTACTTGCAGGTGACTTATGGTAAGAAATTTTGTTCGGTCGTGGCCTGCGTACCCAGCATCATCGGCTGGATAATTTTATCATACTCAAATTCGGTCCCGATGCTGTATCTATCCACGTTGACAATGGGTATTGGTTTGGGTTTCACCGACGGCCCTGCGTACTCGTACATAGGCGAGATCAGTGAACCCAGACTCCGGGGCATCATGGCATGTGTGATCAATATGGCCTGTCTGATCGGAATGTTAGCTACTTATGGCCTAGGATCCATATTCCACTGGAGGACCGTGGCCATGCTGAGCACACTGTGTCCGTTAATGTGCCTCATCTTCATTGCGTTCGTAAGTTCTCAAAGAGTTAATTATTTATTATACGAATGTTGTCTTGATATGATCACTGAAATTCGATGATGTCTGGCGTGCCATGTATAGATACCGGAAAGTCCGATCTGGTTACTATCGAAAAACAAAAATGAAAAAGCGATGGACGCAATATGTTGGTTAAGAGGATGGGTGGACCCGTGCGTGGTTTCGACCGAATACCAAGAGTTAATGTTTTATTATAAAACTTCAGTGGAACAAAAAAAAGTGGTCAATAATAATACGGGTTTGTTTTCATCGTTTTCTTGGCTCAAGAGTTCGTCGGTATACCGGCCTCTGCGATTGACAACCATGTACTATATAATCACGTTGATTTCGTGTCTGACGACTTGCCGTCCTTATATCATGGAAATGATGAAAGAGTCTGGAGTAAAAGACTCCCAAAGCATAGCATTAGTTAGTATTTCGATAATTTCTCTTAGTAAAATAACGCACTTCGAGTTTATAAATTAATATTAATATTTTATTTCCAAGGTACTATTTGGATCGATGCAATTGGCCGGAAGTCTAATGCTCACTTTCACCATACAGAAATTAGGCAAGAGACTGTTGACCATCATGACGTTGAGTATAAACATTATATCGATATTCCTGTTCGCCTTGTACATTATGGGTATTAGGAGGGGAATCATAATGCCCAAAGCTTGCATACCGATCATCATCTACTCGGTAATAATGTTTTCGGGAGCCATGGGCGTGTTGACCGTGCCATGGACGTTGGTCAGTGAGGTATACCCCAACGAGTGAGTTATCGCTTACGCTTATATTGCGCTTAAACTATTAGGTATAATATATTATAAACAACTATTTATAAAACATTTAACTATTATTATGTAGAGCCAAGGGATTCGCTTCCAGTTTGACCACTTCAATTTTTTACATTCTAACGTTTTTGGGGACTAAAGTGTTTTTGAACGTCCAGAATGCGTTAGGCTTGTACAACACCTTCTTCATGTTTGGCGCTCTCAGTTTTGCAGGACTTATATATCTCTATAATTATTTGCCAGAGACCGCGAACAAAACCCTATTGGAAATCGAAGAATTTTTCGTGCCTGAACGCGAAAAGCAAACTACAATAGAGTCAAAGCCGTCCAAACACCGATACGGTGATTTATAATAATATATTTAAACGATTATTCACACAAACAATTTAATTTTGAACTTTGGTCGAAATACAAAATATTGAATGTTACCTATTCAATTATCATTTGACCTGTTATACCTACTATTATGGGACAGTTACTAAGGCATTTTTATATTTATATACATGTATGTTACGATAGTTAATACAAAGAGTTATGCCGTAAAAAAAAAAAATTGTATACCTAAACCTAAAATACTAATATAATATAATAAATAATTCAAATAATTTTACTAGCTTAGACACAATTTTTATTAAATAAATAAACAAATTTTGTACTGTAACAATAAATTATAGATAGTTACTAGATACTTATTGTTACTTTTAAAAGTATTATTTCAAAATTATAGTTACTAAATAGGTATAGAAATAAGGAATGCAAAGGTATCTCGAAATAGATACTACCTAAGATTTAATTAATTTTCTTTATTATAGATACAATATTATAATGTTATTTTATATTTTGAGAAATATTATAAAAGGTAAATGATATTTTAGTTTATCTATCGTAAATAAGGTAATTGTTACAATTTAGTTTTAAAAATATGTATTGTATAGAAAATAATAACGAGAAATTTGTACAACAAATTTAATGAATATATAAAAATGTCTAAAATATATATATACATTTTTTTTTAGCTACAAGTACCTTTTTTGTCATTGTTTTTTAATTTTATTTTGGATTATTATACTTTAGCCAGTACGACGAGGATCAACAGAAATTATTAGTTTATAGGTTTATACATAATGCTACAATACATGCAAATAGAAACCGCTAAATAAAAGACGAGAAATACAAATAAAAGAACATCAACACAGGAAAACAACGTCAAAAGATTTGTTGTACATAATTTTTTTTTTTAAAAGAGGGAACCAAAGTCGTTAAGGTCCGATTATAACAAGGGGCCAGCCGCTGTTATCATGTTGGGTATATGCAGTTTATTTTCCACCCTTTATACCGATTCATTTTTAGCTTCTCGACAAACTGAATCTTTTTCTACGCTACTTTTTTCTCCCTTCCTCTTACCATTTTATCTCTCTATCCCTCTCATTTTCCGTCTTTCTCTCTCAATTTTCCATTCTTTTTTTTGCGACCTCACCCCCTCACGTCATTTTCTCCCAGCCGCTTAAATTACTTCCCCAGTCACCTCCGCTCGCACACTACCCGCCACCTGACGCGGCACCCGGCGCAAACAATTTTTCCTACATCATCCGCACTTGGTACACACAATGCGCCGCCGCCCTTCTTTTGCCACTTTATGAAACGGTTTTTAATCATGCCTTTTCGTTTTTTATATTTATATATATTTTATTCTTTCCGCCGTCTTGGCCATTTATCTTTTTTGTCCTCAGAACCAAAAACGAATATCAGTTATTCATAAAAACGTATTAATCATATTTTCTCCCTTGTTTCTCCTTGTGGTCGATAATCAAGAAAAATAAATTACTATAATGAGATATAATCACAAATTTACAAAGAAAAACGTACCCATAATATGGGTTATCCTAAATAAAATCATTTTATTTAGAAAAAAGGCTTCGTTATTTTTTATTACTTATTTATATATTTATGCATGTATGTATGTATGCATGTGGTGCAAAGGGCAAATTATATTGTTATTAGGTATATTTTATGCATCTTAAAATTTAAGCTAAATATATATTTATATATGTTCAGAAAATGTCCATAAAATAAATTACTATCGAAAATAAACGAAATACTATCGTTCAAGACGTTCAACTGTTTTAAATTTCTTTATCAGCTTTCAAATTTCGTTAAAATACGTAAATATAGTTATTATTGTTCGTACATTGACTATGAAGCCAAATTCTATTCAAAAATTGAGACAACTTAATAATTTACTAGGAAAAAAATATAAGAAATATAGTAAATAGCCATCATCCATAATATACAATCACATTGAACAATATATTAGCCTCAAGTGTATCATCAATTTAGCGTTAAAATTTAATAAATATAAATTCATTAAACATGTTTAACGATTATTAACGGAAGCTTTGTAATCTTCACTACTTTGCAACCCTAATGCAGGCTGTTTTTTTTTCTGAAAAATATTTGCATCGATTTTCTTGCATATAAACTAAGTCAATAATGAAAAAAATTTAATTAACGTACCCCCTTGTGAGTAGAAAGGTGGTTTTTAGCAACTGGGCGCGGTTTAATTAAAAGCAAAAGACGCTCGTTATTTTTATGGCTCAGTACTTAAGGCATTTATATTGGAGTGAATAAAAAAATATATAAAATGTTGTTGGCCTTAAAAAGTATACAATTCAAGGGGAGAATAAGGTGTGAAGAAACTTAAAGACTCTGAGCAGTTTTATTGAAAAATATTATTCTTTTTTATATACTTTTACTTGCAAGTAGTGCGTTTTTTTTTTTAAGAAACAGTCTTTCGGTTTTTGGTAAATCATCAAATGCTACTTAAAGATTAGTGTTGAACTCTGGACATTCAGAGGATAATGAATAAAAAAATATAAAAAAAAAAATAATAACAAAAAAAAAACCATCAGAATCAGATTCCTGCTACTTCATTAGATCGAATTGGTAAACGGTGTCGAATGATTTCGCGTAGGAAATAACCTCCATTAATTTCCACCCTCGGCGCGAAGGGTACACACCAAAAAAAAAAAAAAAAATAAACGATAAAACAACAACGGAGGAAACAAAACAAAACGGGGAAAAATGTGAAAATGAATTTTTTCCCGTTAAGGAGTGCCATTGCTAAGAGTGTTTTTCCGTACCCTTTTGTTATAAATGCGTTTCCCGGAGTTCAGAACAAGAGCTTTTTTTTTGTGTTCTTGCTGTCAATAATAAATATGAACCAGCTCAGAACTCATTTCCTGAACGCTTTCACATATTTTTTTATTAGATTTTTTCTTGCGTAACGGAAACACGTGGTACATTTTAAAGGGTGACATAATTTTAATATAGGAATATTTATCCATGTACGCATTGTATGTAAAATATATAAATATTTTATTTTTAAAGATATTTTTATAACGGGTATTCTCATTAAAAGGCTTTCATAAGAATACGTTTTTGAAAAAAAAAAATCTTTAATTTAATTGTATTACTTTCTATCCAGGTATATTATGATCTACGTTATGAGTGGGGTAATTGGGGGTTCTAAAATATTGACTCAAAATTTCCTTTTCATTTTTAACTCTTTTTCTACAGATTTGAATATAATATAAAATGTATAGCTAATAGAGTTTATTATTACATAAGTACGTATATTTTAAGCATTGCCTTTATTAAAATGGAATAGTGCGGCAGTGAAAAATCAAAGGGATGCCCAATATTATTTCCTTGTTCAATCAGTCACCACTATTATAAGCTTTAAATGCTTATAAACAATAATCTATTGTTTCCGTATTCGTTATTTATAGTTAAAAGTATATGAAAACATTTTTTAATTGAGAAAACTAAATGAAAACCTATTGGCAAATTAACGTTCCAAAATAAATTATCTACTAAAAATAATAATAATATGGTCAATTATTATGTAATGATAAATACTAATAGAATTTTTACTATTTCAGATTTTCCGAAAAAATAAAATGTTTTGTAGAATGTATTAACATATTCAATATTTATATGCGTAATATGTATAAATATTTTTGAATGAACGATCAATATTTCGAAATATTCATAAAAACTAAAATGTACAAGTTTTTTTTCACATATAAAGTTAGATGAATGTAAACCTTTTATTTTTTTTATCTTTGTTAATTGTATTGAAAGACTTGGTTAATTAATTGTTTTTAAATTATTGTTTAAGTTCCACGTTTTATTTATTTTAATAACCTAAACAATAATTTATTTTTATTTTTTTTTAATATTTTTAATTTTGATGTATGAATTTCTAATATTATACGTTTATACGAATATAAACAGTGTGTATTATAATTTATAACTAAGATCTAACACAATCAAAAAAGAAATTCTGAGTTAGAATCTTAAAGGATTTAACAATATTAGGAGTAAAAAACTTGAAGAATGTAGCATTAGATAGAAAGAGATAAAAGGAAGTGTGTGTAAAAAAATATTTTTTTCTATACCATGATTGATGAAGCAATATGATAAATTGCTTGTATAGACTTTAGTTTCAATGCATTGACACTTAAAATTTTAAAAATTATTATCTTGTCAAATTAAAAACAAGGAATATTTTTTTCAAACGAAAACCAATTTTGATTAATTTGTTTCATGCCTCTGAAAAATATGTATAGAATAGGAATCAAGAGTACCGTGGCTGCAGTGTTCCCTTTTTAAACTTTAGAGATGAAACGGATTTTTCGATCGGCTAAAGGATCTTAATAAAAGAGTATATGCGAGTTTTTAATTTAAATGAAAACTCCTTTCGATAAAACATTTTGTGTATCTCTGCCGTTCTCAACAAAAAGTACCGGGCCCGCATATTTTACGAGGTCGTCAATTATTTAATACCCATCCGAGAACATTCAGTTTCTTTTCTTTGAAAAATCTGATACTTCTTCGGCAAATCATTTATTCATACGTTATTCTTTTCTTATTTTTTTTCTTGTACTCGCCAACAACACCCTCGTGTGCTTCTCCTTTTTCGAAACGGCGCATCATAAAAATATACCCTAAATTTAAGTATAGTAAAAACATATCGCAATATTGTAAATCTCCCTTCCTCTTGTACGGTTGTTTACAATCGAAATGCCCCTTTACTCACGGGCGATTTCGTTTGACTATAGATATTATATTATATTGTCAATGGTTGTAGTGTAGTGAGCGCATGTAGGCGAATTATTATGGCTGTACACGGGAAATGCATAGAGGGCAAAAAAAAAAAAAAAAGGCGACAAACAACGTTCTGAAATGTTCCTGATTTGTATGCTGTATATATATTTATAATTTATTTTTTACAATAATTAACTGCGATGTAACTCTGAAACATAGTGCACCGAGTTTCCTAAATTTCAAA